TTTTTGCTCTAAGATAGAAATATTAGATCGCTAACTTCGACTAAAACGATGTAAACAGCCGGCTATCCGGTTGTGTTCATTCAATGGCTGCTCTAATTATTTTGCACATACGTACACACATCGTACACATATATATTATAACACATAATATACTGTTGCCGCCATTAAATCAACTCAGAAATTAGCGATCTAATATCAGTATAGATATCTGTGTGTAAATCATATAGGACACAGTAAGACTGGAATACAATTTTGAAGCACATTATCCCACATTCACAATTGTACTCTATACAATTTACAGCTAATATCCCTGAGCTCGAGCATTTGACGTCTTCCAGCGCAGTCTAAATGTTATGACAGTAGGCAAAATCAGTCGAAGTGTGCAATCTGAGAGTCTGAGCACAAGAATTGTCATAACGCTTACTTAGTTTGTAGTCGAAAGTCTTAGTTTTAATCAGTGAATTGTTGGTCAATCAGCGTTAGTCGTTGGTACAAGTTGGCTATTAGTCAACTTCACTGATAAAATTAGGCTTATCGATTACCGACTCATTGTAGAATCAGCATTAGAGACTAGCAGCATTAGAAAACTTAAGTTGTAGACATAAGTAACGCACAAGCTTTGGTGTATGATGTACGACTTATTGCCGTTTCTTGGAGACACAACAATAAGTTGTAACAATAACTTAAGTCTAAGTAAGTGTTACGACAATACTTGTGCTTACAATGCAGGCCTATCTTAAATAATGCCCAGTGATGCTTCAAATTTGTACGCAATGCTGTCAGCGGTTTACCCCTCGAGAAAAAGTTGATCATTATCTTGACCTAAAAATTCAAAAAAATTCCCTGAATCCAAAGTATCAATCATGTAACTTTTTTCCTAGAACAGAAACGTGAAAAGTACATAAAATATACATTAAAAAAATACATAAAAATTTTGTATATATGTGTGTAAATGTTCATACATACATACAACATACATAAAAATTTTCACTTTTCACGTTTTCGCTTTAGAGAAAAAGATATATGATTGATACCCAAAGGATCATGTAATTTTTTTCCTCGGAAAAACATGAAAATTGTATAATATGCATATATACACTTATAGATTAAAAGGTTGCAAAGCTGAGCGATTGGTTTTTACTTATGGATTTATAAGTAAAAATCAATCGCTTAATGAGTAGGTTACATTCTGAAATCCATTAAAAAAAAAGTTTAGTTGTAACCTTTTAGTCCATACATAGGATGTATATAGGACTATACATCCTATGTACAATTCATACATAAAGTGTATAGGGTACATTTTACAAATATACATAAAAATATTCAAATATATATAATATATATAAAATATATATATATATATATATACATAGAAATACCTACATAAAAATATACAAATATACATAAAAATTTTCACTTTTCACATTTTCGTTTTTTACAGAAAAAGTTACATGATCGATATCCTGGGGGTCGATTGTGTATCTTGAAGCAAGATAAAAATTATAAACATGGGCAAAATTCACTAGGTGTTGACCAATGAAATATTCTAGTGAATTTGCTCTTTTTTGTAATTTTCATTTCATTCTAAAACATAATTGACTCCCTGATAAAATTCCATGAATATCCCTGATTTTTAAAGATAATTAAATCCTCATTAATTTGCAAAAATCGCAAAACGGAGAATAGATGATTTTTTTATTTTATTTAGTCTGTTCTATTTGTTTATGAAAAAATATTATTTTGTGTATACACAATGCGGTTTAATAAAAATTCTAATATAAATTTTGGGAGAAGTAAATAAAAAAACCTGCGGGAAAAAATGTATTGTAAACATTTTTTTAAAATAGAATATAGAACAATTCATAATCTAAAATAAATCTATAAATTTATTTATTTCTAAAAGAATATGTTAAACAAATACAATATGTTAAACAAAAGAAATTTATTTTCCATCTGAAATATACGATCAAAACATGATTGCAAAGATTATACAAAGTACGCTATAGAATTATTTATATTTTATACATTTATAACATTTTTATATAGAAACTTTCACAGAATTATAAAAAAAGGAACTACAAAAATAAATAAAAATATTTTAGTTATTTGCAGAATTGATACAAATAATTCTGCTTAAAAAATGTAAATAAAAAAATCGTCGAAAATATCTATGTGTTAAATATATGTATACATGTTAAAATAATATAAAACAAAAAATTTGTAAAATTTTTGTATAGAGTGAAATTGACGTTTCAATCATCAATTTTAATCACGATTTCAACTTGAAATCACAATTCTTTCAACTTCTTGTCAGTTGCCTTACACGTCCGAAATTTTATCTCTTTTGGACTTAAGATATATTACGGCAAATATAGAAGACTCCATAAATCAAAATTTTGAATATTAAAGCTTACTAAATAAAAAATACATATTAACCTACTTTCAATGTAGATTTAATATGTGGAAGGTAAGTAATGTTAAAAAGTTAGGGAAAAAAAGTGTCCATTTTATAGTAAAAACTATTTTAAAAAATTAAGGCTAAAATAAAAGCATAAATATTAATATAATATGCATACCTAAGAATGTAATATGCATAATTCGCAACTTGTATTCAAAATTATAAGTCCGATCTAAAAGTCTTTTAAGATTCCAGTCAAGAAAATAGTTATACCTCGAGATCGAATTACAATCTTGAGGATTTTTATTATACAGGGTGTCCCATAATTCATCCGACAACGCTCGTGGGCAAGTAGAGCGGACTAAACTGAATCGAAAAGTCTTCTACTATTATGCAATTTTCGGAATAATTAACAAAATATTAATTACTAAAAATTGCCGAATATTGGTTTTCAATTTTTTTCTTAAATACTATCAACTTTATAAGAAAACAGCAAGAGACAAAAATTGTTTATTTTCTTTTCATAGAACTTTAAGAATTTTTTCACAATTTTTCATCAACTTTTTAATACTGCATTTTCTTATTTTTACCAACATGAAAAGATACGGTATTAAAAAATACTGAAAAAATTCTCAAAACTTTAGAAGAAGAAAATAAACAATTTTTGTCTCTTGCTGTTTTTTTGTAAAGTTGATAGTATTTAAGTAAAAAATTATTGAAAACCAATATTCAAGGATTTTTTTTTAGTAAATAATATCTTGTTAATTATTGCAAAAATTGCAAAATGATAAAGGATTTTTTGAGTTTCAGTTTAATCTGATTTATCTGCCCACGATTCCGTTTTCCGACTGTCGACAGCACCCTAAATCTTGAAATTGCCGAATGATCAAAATGATTAATGGATTGTTGTCGAATAAATTATGGGACATTCTGTATATAAGATCTCCACCAAACAATGCTCGTAAATTTTTCTTTAAATTTTAATTTGTGACTTATCACAAAAATTAATAAATAAAACATTAATAAATAAACATTAATAAAAAAAGTTCTAATTGTAGTTACTGTTTCTTTCATTTAACAGCGATAACTCAGCAGTAAGAAATGTTAAGAGCATTTAAAAAAAAAACGATTTTGTACAAAAAACTTTAAGCTTTCATGTTAGAAAATCACATTTTCGTAAATTTTTTTTAGCATATAACAGATCTGCAAAATGAGAAGAGAATTTCCCATTTTGTCCAGCTCATTTTCTACATGTAAAAATTATTAAATTTACAGAAACTAAAGAAGCATAGTGACTTTTCGAAAATAGAGATTTTCTAGAAGCTGTAAAACTCTTTTATCAAATTTAAATTTCGTTTATTTTTGTCGAATATATTTTATAATTGATTTAAAAACTCATATGATACTACTTGCCTTCCAATTATTGTTGTTGTGTATACTAGTAAGTGTATATACTTTTTGAGATCAGAAAATGTCTCGTAATTCGATATTTATAAGATTATAAATAATTCGATATTTATAAGATTATATTTATAAGATTATATTAAGAAGAATTGTCGATAAAAATTATATCCTTTTAAATTTTATTTTATTAAATACTTACATATATTTAACGCATAAAAGATTGTACCACTCCTTCCGTTGTCAAATCATGCTTTTTTAAAATTTCGCTTATATATTCTTGTTTTATGATTTAAATATGAAGGAGTGTGAACTTTACTTTCAATTCAATAATACTTTCAAGATCTTTTTCATCAACTTCTGTTAAGTTAAACCGACGATTACATAAGATTCATTTAGGCTTAGTTTTACAACTAATGATTAATTTCTAACCGAGATTTAACTTATTCCAAGTTAAATTCTAACATTAAAAAAAAGATTAGAAAAAAGATGAGAAATAAGTTAAATCTTGGTTAAGGCGTTAAGGATTAACCATGAATTGTGAAACTGAGCCTTAGGGTGCTGTCCCATGACAGTCGGAATTTCGGAAAAGTAATAGAGTAGATCAATCAATTAGAATTATTGGCATTATTGTTCGTCTGCACATATATGATAAATACAAGATTATAGAAATTGAATTTCTATACGTATAAAAGAAATTCATTATTAATATAAATAATTATTCGATAAGTATTCATTAATATAATTATATAATTTATTTTTCCATATAAATATAATCATTTATATCGTTAGGGATAAAATTGCGTGTTTGTCGGACC